AAGAAATGACAATGAAAATAGTCCTTTTTTGGTTTGTCAGAGGTGTTGAATCAAGATTGAAAAATTTCTTAATGGGGTAGACAAAATGACTGAAGAATCATCCTTTAAATTTGTTAGTAGTTAAACTTGACCTAATTGTGGACCTTTAGGAAATATCTTCTTCTTTTAGTCATACAAGTTGCTTCAAGATTTTTTTAAACATATGTAGTTTGGTCCTCCAGATGTCAAAGATAATGAGAACAATGCTCAAGGAACAATGATGAACAGTGGCATAAATGCAATGCAAGATGTCGGACCATCTGCAGCTCTGTCTACTGTCTCAGCCTCTTTCCTTGATGATAGAAGAATGGATCTTCCAGATGCACACATTGATCTGCCACAAGACCAGCTCAGAATGATCGAGAACATTAAGGCTTTGATATCTGAGGTTGGACTTTATTATAACTATGCTTCCTACATGTTTCTTTTTATAAAATAACTGCACATGGGCAGAATCCAATCTATGTAATTTTTTTTAACTCTTCTCTCATTTGATATACTAAATGGAGAGGTTTATAAATTTCAGTTAGCAGTGGAGAAGGAAGAGCTGGTACAAGCATTGAGAATTGAGTCATCAAATTGTTCCAAACTCAAGGTAATGATGATTTCATATGACAAACAAAAGATTTGGTGATTTGTGACGACTAATGCAGTTAGTTTTTCAGAAAGGTGCTTAACTGAAATAGTCTGATGACACATTTCAAGTGTGACAATGAATATTGCAAAGCAATTAGTACCAACAAGTCTTAGTCAGCATATAGTTTTGTAAACACTGCTATTGGACTCTCCTAATAAATTATAATACGTAGAACTTCAAACCAAATATAACAAAATCTGGCAAGAATCTCATTACTTTCTTGAAGGATTGAGTGGCTGTCTTGTAACTGTCCATAGTTGAAGAATTATAAAATGAACTTGACCTCGTATCATGCTTAGGCTCATGATGCTTCTTGTAGTGTTGATTATTATATATACTATTTGTTGAATTATGGGTTTAGGAAAGAGCATCCAACCCAACCCAAACCCAAATCACAAGGTTTGCTCATGCATTTTCGGAGGGGGACAATGCATGGATTTATTCGAGTGACAACATGCATATGCTTGTTCAGATGATGGAATACAAAAAATTGCTGGATGTTTTTGGGGTTTTGTATCTGCAAATTTTCTTAATTTTGTTTGCACTATTGATTGGTAGCAATCATTATGTAATTGATGAATTTCATCACGTGGAGTCTGTTATGCAACAGTTGACCATTTTCTTCCTTTCCAATGATTAATGTGTTTTTTGTCCTTTTGCCATGATTGCTGAAGGATTTGAACAAAGATTTGTCCCAGAAACTTGAGGCTCAAACACAGAGGTTAGAACTCTTGACCTCTCAAAGAATGGCTAACGAGAATGTCTTGGCAAAACCAATTGATATGCATAGCACACATGAAACGATGGAATATGCTGATGAGGGTGATGAGGTACTGCTTGCTTCCTTTAATTGTTCAAGTTCTCCATTGCTTATCCAATTTCATAGTACAAACTAGTCGACTTAATTCTTTTGTGTGTGTGTGTTGTCATCTTTGATAAAACAATCGTTTCTTTTGTTGATAAATTGGCCATCAAAGTTCCCTTAACAGAGCATCTTTCTTTTAGGTGGTTGAGAGAGTGTTGGGTTGGATAATGAAGCTCTTCCCTGGAGGTCCAGCGAAGCGTCGGGCCAGCAAGCTTCTCTGATGTGGAGAATGATGGAATTGTTGAACCGTCTTTACTATCTCCTAGTGTTATATTGAGGTACTCAACATGTACATGCTCCGCTAGTTTGTAGCCATTCTTTTTTTACGCTTTTTTGGGGATAGGAAAAGAAAATTGGAGGTATTTCTTCCATAATTACGCGTGGAAATTAAGGCATAGAGCCATCACATTATTTTTCTATTGTGCTCCTTGTTGGCTCTCGTTGGTGGTTAGGGATTGGGGGAGGGGGGAGGGGGTAAGAGAGGGGTGGACATATGAGAAGCAACTGTTGTATTAGCTCTGTTCTAAGTTCTTCCCATTTTTTTATTTTTGTTTGCGGCTCATTGCAGTGAAGTGTAACCCACCATATGCATATCGAATATACTGTTATACTGATCTTGTTAAATTGATTTATAGTTTGAAACGAGAATATGTTGAAACTTGATACTCTCTTTCTCTCTCTCTCTCTCTCTCTCTGGAAGGTTTGAAGGTTATTCTATGGGTCTTGCACATTACGCCAAGGATTTGTTGTGTTCTTTTAGCTTGCTATATAATGGACATTATACTTGCATTATTTGCTTAATTGCTTTGTGGGTTTTATCAGCTAAAAACTCTAATAAGAAACATGTAAACCAAATAATGTGGTTGAGCAAAGTAAAATTTGAAAGGTTCATGTAAGCATTATGGTCGTTGGTGTATCGTATTTTTCTGCTATGGTGATCATGGCAAGTATTTGGTGTGGATGAATAATGGCAAGTATAAGGAAAATGTGAATTATTATTATTATTATTATTGTTGTAGTAATATTATGTATGCTTTATTCTAGGCACCAAGAAGTGCACTAGGGATGAAAACAAGAGACAAGAAATGCACCAAGTTGCTGAGCCCAAGTGTCCAAACAAGAGACGAGAAAGCTGAACCTCCTTCAATTTATCTACTCAGTGAATGAAGAAGGAACGAGCCACCCACACTTGTTTTTGTCGCGTCTCAAAGGAGCCAACCACCACCAGCATTTGAAGTCAAGATTGTGCAGACTCTTTTCATGGCCTCATGTGACTCGCAATCGAGGTCGGCCATGCTTTGCCATGGCTCATACCGTGAGCCAAAGGCAGCGGTGACATCAAGCCACAAAAGCCTGCTTCCTGCCCAATAATAATGTGTGCCGAGCTCACATGTGACTCGCCGAGTTTCTCGTCTTGTTCCTCGCCATCACTGAACTAAATCTTGTCCTGCTGCGTCGGACATTGAAGACGCAGTCGAGTTAAAACTGTTGGGTCCATGTGCAACTGGAAGTGAGAAAACAATTAACTTTGGTGCTCTACCCGATCATACATACATATTAATTCCTCAAGGCTATATTTCTGCTTGTTTTTTCTTTTCCTACCCCCTCAGACAAACCACAGATAAGATCGTTGAGACATTGCAATAGAATGTCTTCCCGGAGGCAGAAGCATATTCTACGTCCTTACGACGTTACAACGTGATGTCTCACTGACCGCGTTGAGATGAGAAAGAGCCAAATCTGGTGAGGTAGCATGTTGACCTCAGTGCCATCCTTCTCGTTGTCCTTTGGTCATGTAAGATTGTCTAAGCTGTTCATTGCTTTTACTAAATGCAAGCGATCTAAGCAATTATTGACTAAACAATCTGTAGTAGACGCACGATGCCCGTATTCTTAAGTTCCAAATCAGTAGGGATGAAACTAGTTAGGATGTCATGTGTCATGCACAAAAGGTGTTAGTCCAAGTGTCACTGTTCAGATTTTGCCAGCGATGGTAGCTGGTGGTAAGACCTCTCTCTCTCTCTCTCTCTTTCTTGTTCATATCATCATATCATGGAAGGCATTTTGCCCAAAGGCCATATCCTCAACAATTCTCTACATGATAGAGCAAGACTGGGAAGAGCAACTCAAGGGGCTCAAATCATTGAGCAAGCAAGCACAAAAGAAACTTAGGGGGGGAGCCAAAGAGGGGTGGTTTACCAAATAGTAGGAGGCTTAATGACCACCAAAGTCATGTAGCATTTAGAAGACTACTCCCCCACCATAAGAGCTCCTTATCCAATCCTCCATGTCCTATCACACGCATGAATAGAGATCATGGCCATATTATATTGCAGCAATCACTAATTGAGTCGTTGCTGCATTTCTCCTGCTTCTCCACTAGAGGAGAAAGAGAAAGAGTGGGCACTAAAAGACAGCTGGGTTTGGTGATTCTGTTCCGATGCCCTATTAGTTTGCAAGACAGAGAGAGAGAGAGAGAGAGAAGCAGACACGCAAAGGAACAGGAACAACGCAGAAGAATTGACTAGGGCACTGACTGGGTGGTTTGATCAACCCCGTGACCCTAAATGCCATTCTTCCGAGTTGTTAAAGAATCAACAACAGCTGCATAAACATCGAGTAAAGGCGACAAGTTTCTGAGATGCTGCTGCATCACCACAACATCATCAGGACCTGCCCATGGTCCGTAGGACCTAAGAGTTCTAGCTGCAGGAGGCAAGGTGGATGATGATGCAAAGGAGGCAGTGTGGTAAAGGCAGGAGGATGAGGAAGAAGGAGGTTTAATCGGACGGATGAGTTCTGGAATCTAACATGTCATTCCATTTCTATGACGAGAGTCAACTGTTGGGCGGCAGGAAAGCAAACTCGGTAAACCAATAATAATAATAATTGGTGAGATTGAAAGCATGAAACTGGTGCAGGTTGTATGGAGTAGAAATCATGAGCATGTTGGTATGGAGGAATTAAGCTGCTGTGACTACCGGCACAGCTATGTACTTGTGTTGAAATATGATCTCTTCATTTGGAAATGTAACCTCAACATGCAGGTGTTTCTTTAGAACCAGATGATGATGGATGTTGTGTACCGACGACGGTCCGTTTCCTATCCCTTCTCTCAGATATCTCCTCTCTTGGGGGGCCCCGCACAGAGCATGTCCGTGAGGCAGCCACATAGGATGAGTTGGATCTCTTGGGAGGCAGATTCGGTCGCAAAACTAACACAACAAGTGAATGCGGTGTCAACATGTCCTATTGATGGAGCCCCAACTGCTACCTTTTCCAAACCCAACCCACGAAGCCAACCCCACACGCTCCATCAACCTTACCCTCCGATTTGATGACACCACCCCCTCGTCTCCTCCCAAACCCCAGCTTCTGTGTTCCCTTGCCATCGCCGCAGGTCTCTCTCTCTCTCTCTCTCTCTCCGATGAAA